TAGAAAACCATTTGGCAGTATTTACTAAAACTGAATTATGTGAGCTCCATCATTCCAGAATTCCAGTACTAGAGAATCACGTACATATGTTCTTCATATTAAATGTGTGATAACCAAAATCTACGAACAATCCCAATATTCATCAACAGTGGAATGGATAAGTAACTTATAGTATATACGTATAAGCAATACTGTCCTACAATTAATTAACTACAACTACATCTAACAACATTTACATAACAAACATAATATTGAGTGAAAGAAGCCAGACAGCAAAAATATATACCATATCATTCTGTTTATGTAAAGTTCAAAAACAGCTAAAGTAATCTATGATGTTGGAATTTAGGATTCCTGATTACGTGCCGCAGGAAAAGAGTGCCTGGAAAAGGAGCAGAAGGTAGCTTCTGGGGTTCTGGTAATGCTCTGTTTCTTGATCTGGCTGCCGGTTATACGGGTGTGTTCACTTCATGAAAATTCATCAAGGCATAATTTTCTCTATGTATGTTAAACCTCTATTAAAATTTACATTATACATATTATATATTTATATACACATATATTGTGTGCATGTATGTGAAATGACAACATTTCAACAAATGAAGTGTTAATGAGTTAATCGACTTTTATTAGCAATTCATAAACCAGTCAGCATCCAGTCTATAAAACAGACAAGAGCTCCACTGGCCATGAGGTCATGGCCAGTAAATTGGTTTAATAGAGAACTCCACTGGTTGTGAGTTGGTTTTTGTAAGGCAACTTGAGCGGGAACAAGGAAACATCTAGTGCAAAAGGTAAATTGGTTAACATCAGGTTACTAAAGGTTACTCTCCTCGTATGGATTAAAGCAGTGGGGACTTGGTTATTATGCCCGCTCAGCTCAGGTTGACTGGGCCCTTTGGATTGGTTGTTGTGGATTTCCTTTTTTTTCTTTTTTTTTTTTTTTTTTGTTTTTGGAAAACTGACCTTCTCCCCTAATCTCTCAGGTCGGATCTTGCAAGTAAACAGCTTAGGTTTTGGTTTGGCGATCAGGAACATTAGCATGAGTGACTCCAGTTTAGGTTGGTCTGTTGGGACCTAGGGCAAGATCTTACCCCAAATCAATAGCCTCTCATAATTTTTATTTAAGAGTATATACACATATGCACAAACACACACACACACACCCTATATATTTCATCCAAACTGTAGCCACTTCTGGCTTCCTCTACTGTTCTCTCTAATCTAAGACTTCTGCAAAAGCTGCTTGCCCCAGTTCCACTCTTGCACCCCTGTATCTTCACCAGTAGCCAGAATGAGAATTTTAAGACAGAAGGAATGCCATTGTCTGTCCCTGGCTCATAACGAGTAGTAGCTTCCCATGTCAATCCAAGTAAAAACCTCAGAGGTAACACCTCTGCCTCTCTCAGGCAGTTCCTGCCTCTCTCTACCTCCTAAAGCCACTGTAATATTTAACTAAAGTTGCCCCCTCATCCTTGAGGTTTGCTTATCCCTACTGTTGTAGATTAGTCTATATAAAACAGCCTCCCTCAGACCTGTTACTTATCCCTTTACCTGCTTTATTTTTCCTTATAGCTGTTATCACCAACTGACATATCATTTACTTGATTATTGATTTATAATGGCCTTTCTGCCACTAGTATGTAGGCTACATGAGAGCAGGGACTTTATCTTTCTGCTTTACAGCCCTAACGTCTAGAAAAGTGCATGGCATAAAGTAATGGAAGGATGAATGGATGGATGGATGGATGGATGGATGGATGGATGGATGGATGGATGGATGGATAGATTGATTTGATTGTCACCAAAAAATGTAGAAAATAGGCAGAATATGTATTATTAACCTTCTTTTATAGGTTTGGAAACTAACAGAATGAAATTACATGAGGAAACAAAGAAAATGAAATATTTGCTCAGTGTTATTCAGGAGTACAGCCAGGTCTTCTGTTCCTCTCTCTCACTCTCCTCTTCTCTCTCTTTTTCTCCCTCTGCTCTTCACCTCCCACAAACCCACTCATGTACACAAAGACACAGGCACAAGGAGAATGAAATAAGCACAATTTTCCTCATTAATGAAAGTGTGCATGTGAACTACTCTGTTCACTACAATTTTTAGCCATTTTACTCATAGTCATAAAATATATTTTATATTATTTATGTATGTGTAAGATATATATTATATAACATATCTTACTCACATATATGTGTGTGTATGTGTGTTTGTGGGTTATATAATCCTATTGGTTGAGAATTAAATGAGGATGACAGCCAGGTAAAGATTTATTACTTTGGAATTAGGCCTTTTTATATAAGCCTTGATTTGTGGTCATTTGTCCTATTTGAAAACATGATAAGAAAGAATCTATTGTTTTGCTTGCCAAAATATGTGGGACCTAGGGCTGGGTTCTTTAGCATTTTGCACTAGAAACTTTTTAAAACAAAGTGAGATCTTTTTTTAAGATGCTGCCCACATTCCAACAATAAAAAACTTTTAAGGCTCTGAAGACAAAGTTTTTGTCAGTGAATGTCCAGAAATTGTGATAGTTTCAGTCAGAAGTCTCACCTCCCTGTTCTCAGAATGAATTGTAGAGCCCCTGGAACAGACAAGGGTGTGTAAGGTTAATTGCTCTTTCTATATAGATATCAATTACCTTTTCAACGGGCTACCCAGTGGGATTTACCACTTGGCAGTTTGTCTAAAAGCTAGCAAAAAATAGGGGGGTGGGGAGAGGACTGATTTGGTTGTCAACATATTGACCCTTCAGTGTTGGTTAAAAAAAATAAAAGTTTTAGGCCCTTTCAGTTACTAAGTAGCTAACTACACAGTTTTGTTTGGTTAGTGTTTTTTTTTTTAAATTAAAAAAATGGGAAACAGTGATTATGTGCTCAGCGGCTAGCATTAATATGTTTCACCTCCTCCCTCTTAGAAAACAGTAAGTATAACATGAAGCCACAACTTTAAAAGCAGATTAAATTAAAAAATGAAGTTCCAAATTCATTGAGTGTAATGAGGCCAATGTCAGATCATTCGTTCATCAAGTAGTTACAGCTTTTAATAAGGCAGAAAATTATGGTTAAAGGGAAATATGGCTTTTACTTATGAATACAAAATAGCCATTAATGTCAAGGAGAAAGCAATGCCGAAGTTTATTCTGAAACTCAGACTTGCAGATGAGCAGAGGAAAGTGTAGGGTTATAAGAATATATGTGTAGTTCCAATGTGGGAGCTCTGGCTTCATCTTGGCCACACAACTTGGAAGCTGTGTAACCTAAGGCAGGTTAGTTAACCAATCTGAATCTCACCTTCCTGGGGATGTGAAATGAGGATGGCTTTTGTGAAGACTAAATTAGGTCATGGTTGTAAAAATGTTTTGTAGTTGAAATAATGTATAGGATTATTACTGTGCTATAATCATTTATTGAATCCCTTTCCTGCCTCTCTCTACCTCCTAAAGCTACTTCTGTAATATTTAACTAAAGTTGCCCCTCATCCTTGAGGTTTGCTTATCCCTACTGTTGTAGATTAGGATATTTTACCCCAATTAAATGAGAATTTCCCATGTGTTCCATGTCTGAATGAGCCTTCTAAGGCAGAACAGAACTATGACCTTCTCTGAAACCTAAACTATTAATGTTGTACATACATAAACAAGCAGCTCCCTGAGACCTTAAAGGTAGGGGTATTGGAGATAGAAAGTAAAAAGTGGAAAATATGTCTTCTTTCCCTACCTCAGGATGGAACATTATCCCATTTTCCTAAGTATGTTTTCTTGTCCCATTTTCCCAAGTATTTTTTTCTATCTATAGTAGAAAAAGTCACTATTTAATGAACACTTATTATATGCCAAGCACTGTGCTATGCATTATTTCATATAATCCTCACAACAGACTAATGCATTCTGTACTATTATTGCGAGTATAGACAAGAGAACTGTAATCAGAGCAATTAAGTAGTTTAACCAGTGTCACATATCTGGTAAGTGGAGAGTCAGGATTTAAACCTAAACCTACTCAATTCCTTTTCCAGGCTTTTCCTATTATTTACCTCCTACATTTCAACTTCTTTTGTGAAGAAGTTGACAAAGACATTATTTCTTTGCATGTCTGTGTTTGCCTTTCTATCCCTTTAAAGTTTCATCTTTGGTGTGCTTGTAATGAGTACAGTAGGGACCTGTAAACAAAGATGACTAAGGTGTGGTCCCTCTGCTTAAGAAGCTATTATAATGCACTGGCAGAAAGATGACAGGCGAACAAATCACTCTATGACATGGAGCAATTTGTGTGTGTGTGTGTGTGTGTGTGTAGCAGTTTTTGTGTTCTTCAACTTTAAAGTTCAGGTATACATGTGCAGGATACTCAGGTTTGTTACATAGATAATCATGTGCCATGGTGGTTTGCTGCACAGATCATCCCGTCACCTAGGTATTAAGCCCAGCATGCATTAGCTCTTCATCCTGATGCCCTCCCTCCACAATGCCCCCATTCCCAATAGGCCCCAGTGTGTGTTATTCCCACCTTGTATCCATGGAACAATTTAAGAGGTCATAAGAGATAGAGCATCAGCCTCCTCATCTGTAACTTGGAAATTATACTCTACCTTTTAAAACTATTATGATAGAGTGAAATGCTTATGTCAAGTATATAGCAAATACCCTGACTTGTAGTAAGGGGTCAGTATATAGAATCTATAATGTGACCAGACAGTCCAAGGACTAGGATATCAGAATAGAAAAGCAATTTGGAGCCAGATTTTGAGAACCTTGAGTGCCATTCCAAAGATTGTGAACCTTAACTTCATAAAAACAATGTGCCAAAGTTAAGAATTATTCCAAAAAGAAATTAGAGCTGATGCTATTTTACATTACCTTTCAAAATTCATTGTAAGTGAGATGGAGTTGGTAGAAGCTGTTGTAACTGATTTAAAGGAGTTTTATATTTGATGTACTAAAAGGAAAGATGATATTTTTAAGTTTGATGCCTTTTATTTTTTTCTTCCACAGTAATTAGTGAATGCCAAAGGCAGCAACTGGAGGCTGTGAGCTACTCCTCTCGATATGCTCTGGGCCTCTTTTATGAAGCTGGCACGAAGATTGATGTCCCTTGGGCTGGGCAGTACATCACCAGTAATCCCTGCATACGCTTCGTCTCCATTGATAATAAGAAGCGCAATATAGGTCAGTACCCCCATTATTTCCCTTAAATACAGTAACAATGGTGGGTGTAGATCATGAAAAATGCTGTTTAATTGAGTGTTACCATTCTGAACAGAGCAAGCATTTAACTCCAAGCCACAGGGGATAAAATTTAATGTCACATTTGGCCAGTAATAAAATACACAGTGAAACCGGCAAAGTTTTTCAGAATTTCATTCACCACATGGTTTATATTACTGAGTTCATGAAAATAGTGTCAGAAGGTTTAAGGTTTCAAAATGACCCAAGTTCTATTTCTTTAATATGGATGCATCTATATGCAAATGTATCTCTCATTTGTTTCTTGGTGAAGTTTGTTTTTGTTTGTTTGGTTTGGGTATTTTTTTTTCTAATTTGATAAGTGCTGCTCTTCCACTCCCTCAGCTGGAAATTAAAGGAGAATTTTACTATGTTATGAAAATCCTTCACTTCAATATAATTTTATTGTTTATTTGCATTTCATCTGGGGGAAAATGGTAAATTTACTTTAGAAACAATGTAATGAGTAAAATGTTTCATGAGAGCTTTACTAGAATGTGATAAATCTACACTCCACCCTTTTTGTTGAAGATAGTTATAAAAATTAGATTTGAATTGTAAGAAAAACATAACTGATTCCTTTTAGGCAAAAAGGTGAAAGTGTATTCTGATTTGTAGGATTGCAGTGATCCCTGAGATGCTGCTTTTTGTGGAATAACCATAAGGATGTAAAATGACTAAAACTCTTGAATCGTCCTGTCAATCTGTTATGGTATTTTATGGGACAGTGATGGCTTCACCAAGCCATTAGTTAGAAGTCTGGCTTGATAAAATCACCAACTAACATCTCTCAGCTCACCAGACCTTCATAATGATAGAACTGGGCTGGAGTATGGTTTTTATATCAGAGCTCATGATCTTAGAAAAATGTTTCTTTTATAACTTAAAACTCCCTTAGGGCTGGACTGTTTATGTTAACATGATACCACATATATGTACAATCAGCAGTTCATGAAATGCCTTAGAACTGCAATGGACTAACCATTTTTAACTCTACAACTGCTTTATTCTGAGAAAAGAAGATTAACCCTTGATCTTTTCATGTTATATGGCATGAATTAGACATTATCCTTTGTATATTTCATCATAAGATATGATATCTGTCAGGGTGTATTCAGTTGTATATAACAGAAAAAAAATTTTAAACTTGTTTAACAGCATAAAGACATTTGTTATATTATCCACTATGGACTGAATTGTGTCTCCTCCATAGACATAGGTTGAAGCCCTAAGCCCAATATGGTTGTATTTAGAGATGGGGTTCTAGGAGGTAATTAAGATTAAATGAGGTCCTAAAGGTAGGACCCTATCCATGTAGGGTTGATGGCCTTATAAGAAGAACAAAAGAGAGAAAGCTCTCTCTCTCTATCCTGGCTTGCACATACCATGTGAGGACGTAATAAGAAGACAGCTATCTGCAAGCCAGGAACACAGCCCCAACTAAGAGCCAAATCTACCGGCACCTTGATCTTGGACTTCCCAGCCCCCAGAACTGTGAGAAATTTCTGTTGTTTAAGTCACCCAGTCTATGGTATTTTGTTATAGTAGCCTGAGCTGACTAATAATACATTATCTAAGGAGAAGATTGGAGAGACTTCAGGGTTCATTGATTCAGGAACTGAGCAATATCTTAAAAGACCTAGGTTTTGTCTTTCTCTGCTCTCTTCTACTCTCAATGTTGACATCCTCAGAAGACTGGCAGCAAGATGGCAATAGCTATTGGAGTCACACTGAACCTAACAACATGCTTAGGAATGAAATGAACTATCACTGGCTAAGGATCAAGGAAATCTTGGGAGGCCAAGGTGGGTGGATCATGAGGTCAGGAGTTCAAGACCAGCCAGGTCAACGTAATGAAACCCCATCTCTACTAAAATTACAAAAAAATAGCTGGGTGTCGTGACAGGCGCCTGTAATCCCAGCTACGCGGGAGCCTGAGGCAGGAAAATCGCTTGAACCCAGGAGGCGGAGGTTGCACTGAGCGAAGATCGTGCCACTGCACTCCAGCCTGGGTGACAGTGTGAGACTCCGTCTCAAAAAAAAAAAATAATATATACTAATAATAATCAAGGAAATCTTTACAGAAGCCTTTTGGTCGACTTCTCCTCATGTGTCACAGACCAGAATTACCAGAATTGGATTACTTGAGTGCTGCAAAACCAGTCACTGGCAAAGAGGGTGGGAGCAACGTGGTAAGCCTACACAAGTACAGATCTAGTCCTGGAACTGGTACTAGGATCATCTTTCCCTTAGTTATGAGGAGTGCTATCTGAATAAGATAGAGTTTTGTTAGGAGGAAGAAAGGAAGTACTAAATGCTGGATTAGCAATCAATAATGTCCATTATCTCCAAGTAGAGTCACATCTTATATGGGAGGTAAAGTTCTAAAGTTGTCACATAAAAAGAGTCATGTATATTCAAACTTACCTTCAAAGTTTCTTAAAACTATATGACATTTTAGAGAATGATGTAACGTCTTTCAGTAAATTCAGTACAACTATTTTCCCAACATTCAGTAGATTTCTGTTTCTTTGGTGAAGCCAGATTAAAGTTGGTTTGGAATTGTAGGACCCAGTGATATTTTCTACTATGAAAGGCACACAGGAAGGAAAGAAATAACAGAGTCATATCTCCTAACAGACTATAAATCTGCTGTAAAAATGGAGTAGGATGGTGGGTAAAAGCACCCACAGTACAGTGCAGTAATTTATAAAATTATGCAAATTTGAAAGAGTACAACATAAAAGATTAATAAATTCTCTCATGTGATTGGAAGCATTTGAAATAATAGAATTTAAATTTTTTTTATATCAACAATCATACAATATTAAAAAGAGTGGGCTACCTGAATTGGAAACCATGTTTTTGCTACAGCCCATGGTGGTGCGACTTCAGCAAGCAAAGAAATGCCTGCTTTTCTTTGACAGCTGTATGGGAAATTAATCTTCAATTATGCAAGTTTTAAATTAAGTGATACAGAATGCCAGTAATGGCATTTCATAACATAAAATCTAACTGCTTTGCATTTAAACTATTTTTTCTATCTGGGGGCCAGGATACTAAATGGGTCTAGCTGAATTCACATACTACAAATGCCCATATAATGTAACTTCACTGATTTTACTGATATTGATATTTAACTAGGACAGTAAGAGTTTTTTTTTGTTTGTTTGGTTTTTGTTTTTGTTTTTGTTTTTGACAGAGTCTCGCTGTGTTGCCCAGGATGGAGTGCAGTGGCAAGATCTCTGCTCACTGCAATCTCTGCCTCCTGGGCTTAAGTGATTCTCCTGCCTCAGGCTCCCAAGTAGCTGGGAGTACAGGTGCCTGTCACCATGCCCAGCTAATTTTCTTTGTACTTTTAGTAGAGACAGGGTTTCACCAAGTTGGCCAGGCTGGTCTCGAACCCCTGACCTCAAGTGATCCAACCGCCTTGGCCTCCCAAAGGGCTGGGATTACAGGCGTGAGCCACTGCACCCAGCCAGAAGATGTTTCTTTACGCCAGTAATACTACCCCACACCCTTGCTTTATGTGGGGTGTTTGATTGAATCAAGAATTAATACTACAACATACATACACAACCAATCAAACATTTGTGTTCTGTCAGGGTAGAGAAGCAACAAGATAAAGTCTGGCATGGTGGAGACCACAAAATACAGTCAGTTGTTAAGTCTTGAAAAGAGCTAGAGGATATAGAAGAAGCCTAAAGATCAAGGCATAATCATTTGTTAGAAGTCAGGAATAGGTAGTACATGTAGAAAGGCACAGCCAGAACCAAAGTTTCTTTAGGCAGAGGGAGTAGATTCCAAGATGTACTAGACCCAACTTTAAGTAACAATAGTTATGAATATGCCCCAATATCCTTGTTTGTGTTTCCCAAAATGTGTTCAGTGGAACACTATTTCCTTGAGTTGCTCTTTGAAAAAGGGCTCTGTCATCAAATAAATTTGCAAAATACTACAGACGTTTATTTTGGAGAATCTCAGGACACGTTATCTTATTAAAGGATATTCCTACAGAAAAGACACCTTTTTACTTCTTTTAATCTAGAATTTCCTAAATGTGCTTGACCATGAGTTATTGTATTTCAGCACCAAACCTACTAACATCCCATAGAAATGGTTCCCAAGTATACATTTTAGAAGCACTGACTTGATGTCACCTTTCATGCTTCACACCTGGGCAGGAATTATAGGCCAGATAACTGGAGTGGGAGGTCTGGTCCTAAAGGCATCAATTGGGAAATACTTGAGATTTTTTTAGAAATGAGAGAACCCTTGTTGCCAATGAACTCAAATCTTCATGGAGTTAAAATTTGAGAAAACTTATATTAAAATAAGGTGTTTATCATATTACCTTGGGTAGTTTTTAAAATTAGTAAGCTTGGCGTAGTGGCAAGAATTGGGACTTACAAGACCTAGATTCAGATTCTGCTTCTGAAAAATGCTACTTTTGTACTTTTGTATAGGCCTTGTATTTGTAATGCTAGTTTTTGTAGTAAACATACCCAAAACCTTTAATGGCCTGAACATGACTGAGGTTTATTTCTTGCTCATATAAAGCCCAAACAGGTATTTGTGATTGGTAGGTAGCTTTCTTCAAAGCTTTATTTAGGAACGCAGGCTCCATCCATTTTTTGACTCTGCAAACTTCATCAGGTAACTAACAGAGTCAGTGTACTCATAGACATCAATCTGTGGATGGAAAGAGGATGGAGGAGAGCCAGAGGAGTTTTTAGAGGTAAGCCTAGAAATGGTGCACCTCAGGTGTGCTCACATTCTGTTGGTTAGGACATGGTTATGTGACCACACTTATTTGGAAGAAAAGCTGGAAATGTAGTCTACCTATATATGTAGGAAAAAAAAGTGGATCTGGTGAACATTTAGCCAGTTTCTACTAAAACATTTGGCATAAATCGTCCTGTAAAAGGAACAGATTAGACCTG